ACGGCTTTCCCCTGGGATAGCGTAAATTCATATTTCTAGGATGGACATGTGGTCAGAAAATTATATGATTCACTATACCGAAGGGTGGCGGTTAAACGCGGGGTGGGGGTGGTTTGCCATGTTGAATCATGATTTAAGAAAGGAGAATCTATGTGGTTAAGCTTTGTGGTACAATCTATGTGATGCAAGCTATGTTGTGCAATCTGTGTGGTGCAGCGTATGTGGTGCGATCTGTTTGGTTTCAGGTGGTACGACTTTCGTGGTGTAAGCTATGTGGTGCAATCAATCACTTGCTCAACTTGAAGCTGTCCTTTCCACTGCTCGCGCAAACATCCCACCCTCCAACCCGCAACTTGGTTTGCAAAACCTCTTAAGACCGACTACGACGACACCGACGACAACGACGACGACGACACCGACGACGTCTCTGACGACTTCGACGACGACAACGACGCCGACGCGGACGACGACGAAGACGACGACGACGACGCCAACGAAGGCGACGACGAGGGAGGAGGAAGGACGACGACATCGACGACAACGACGAGGGAGGAGGGAGGACGGCGACGACGCGAACGACGACGAAGGAGGAAGGACGGCGACGCCGACGACGACAACGACGAGGGAGGAGGGAAGACGACGACGACAACGACGACGACGACGGTGACGAAAGAGAACCGACGACGAGACGCCGACGACGGACGACGACGACGACGTGGGAGGAGGAGGACGGACGACCACGGCGACAACGACGACGGAAACGACCACGGCGCCAAAGAGGAGGACGACGACGAACACGAGAAAAGACAGAGGACGACGTAGGCGACGGCGACGACGACGCGGGAGGAGGGAGGACGGCGACGGCGACGACGACGACGACGACGCAAGAGCGCGCGCGCACGCTTTTGTTGAAAATCCGAGTTGCGAAACCTCAGGTTTTTGTAGGTTTTTTGGTTTCTGGACGCACGATTTTGAAATCCTTCCGAAACCGATGGGTTTTGAAGGTTTTCGGCATACGCCCGCGACGACGCGCGCGTGTCCACGTCGTCCCGTTTTTTTGCAGAGGATTCTCGCGACGGCACACGCGCAAGGGCGTTAGACTGATTTCGACATGCGCGCGCGCGAAGCCCGTTTGGTAGCATTTTGTGAAGATCTTGAAAAACCTATGGTTTTCTTACGATTTCGCAAGAGCTCGCGCGGAAGCTTTTTTATCAAGTCAGTGTTGCGAAACCGTGTGTTTTTGTATGTTTTTTTTTGGAAACTCGATTGCGAAATCCTTCCGGCACCGAGAATTTTTCAAGGTTTTTGAAGGCTTTCGGCATGCGCGCGCGACGACGCGCGCGTGTGCACTTCGTTTCATTTTTTTGCAAGGGATTCGCGAAAAAGTGTTATGTTAGAACAACGAATGTCACCGCATAGTTTTTTTTTATATATATATATATATATATATATATATATAAAGGGAACCTCAGGGGGGGAAACCGGTTTGGCTGGGATGCCATGATTTCATATTTAGGATGGACGAGTGGTCAGAATCATATATGATTTACATACCCGAAAGGGGAACGGATAAGTCCGGGGGGGGGGGGGTAGAGTCTATTCTCCTTTTAGACAGGAGAATCTACGCGGTGCAGTCTGCGTGGTGCGTGTATACACCCAGAGGACAATACAAATATCGGAGAGCAGCTACCCGAAAACACAAATTATTCCACCATGGACGAGCCGACCGAAGCATTGAAGGCCCTTGCTGTTGGCACAGCGGCAGGACACGACGGGGTAGCCTTATAATTTTGGAAACTACTCCGTCTCTCGACTACTGCATGTAAGAATCGGTTAGCAATTTGCCAGGAATGTTGGGAAAACAACCCAGCTTCGTGGCGAATTGCAGCGGTGGTGCTGCTGTTCATGAAAGGGGAGTCGCACTCGCCAGGCTCACTTCGGCCCATTCTCTTCTCCGGGCTCTGGCTACAAGGGCTGGCTGTATGGATCAAAAAACACGATTGCTGCGAGGAGGAGACAAAAGACAGTTACGACAGCCGCCCTTGATGCCATGATGCCGCCCCGGGCTGCCTTTGAAGTTGCGGGGGGGGGGGTGGGCAATGGGCATTTGTTGATGTGTCGTTTTTTTATAAACGGTACGTTGTATTCTGTACGACCTGGCGCCGTTTTGGCTCTTCCTATGGAACGGTATTCCTTGGGGTTCTTTTGCGTCTGATGTTGACATGCACTGTTATGCCATCGGGGCGGGGGATTGGGGTGGTAGGGGGGGGGGAAGGGGGGGAAGGCATGGGAGGGGGTGAGGGGGCAAGCTAGGTGCGTTCGCGTCATATCTGACATCCTACCCCTCCCTCGCGTCCCTCGATCCCCTCTCTACTCGCACAATCGGATGTCGAGCAGGGCAATGATCCCGAAAGGGTACGCGATGCATTGTAGAGCACGGCGTGGCGTGGCGTAGAAGAGCACCGCGCAGCGTAGTATGTCACAGCATGGCGTGGCGTGGCGTAGTGAACATTTGCGTCACAAATCTTTGCAACGCAAAGCATGGCGTCGCACAGTGGCCCCGAACATAACATTGCATAGCATGGCGTTGAATATCAAAACGTAGCATGGCATAGCACGACGTGGCACTTACTCACTGCGTACCACAGCTTCAGTTGAAGGCATGGCATCGCGCAGCGGAACGCAACCTGGCATTGCGTTGCATGCCGTGGCATGGCACGGGAAATGACGCCAGCGCTGCAGCAGGATCACGATTCGGAACGAGCGGAAGCGCGGAAATGAAGCCAGCGCTGCAGCGGGAGCGCGATTCGGAACGAGCGGAAACACGGAAATGAGGCCAGCGCTGCCGCGGGAACGCGATTCGGAACGAGCGGGGCCCGAAAATGAGGCCGGCGCCTCAGCGAGAGCAGCATTTTGAACAAAGTGCAGGCGAACACCCAACTCGGGGGAATCCTGTGTGTAAAAAGCAGTACGCGGGTGGGGGGGCGAACACACCTAACCCGTCATCAGGGGAAGGAGGAGTAGTATTCATATTGAGTATGGTGGAGCAGAGGGTTTTTAATAGGGGTGGGGTGGGCGGGGAGTGGGGGGGTGGGGGGGGAGGGAGGTGGAGGGGGGTTGCGGACATGGGGTGAGGGGGAGAGGGGGGGGATGGGGTGAGGCGGGGGGCGGGGGGCGGTGGGGGGAAGGTGGGGGAGCGGGCGGGGGGGCGGGGGTGGAGGGGGCGGGGGCGGGGGGAGGAGGAGGAGGAGGAGAGGAGGGAGGAGGAGGAGGAGGAGGAGGAGGAGGAGGAGGAGGGGAGGAGGAGGAGGAGGAGGAGGTGGAGGAGATGAGGAGGAGGAGGAGGTGGAGGAAGGAGGAGGAGGAGGAGGAGGAGGTAGGAGGAGAGGAGGAGGAGGAGGAGGAGGTAGGAGGAGGAGGAGGAGGAGAGGAGGAGGAGGAGGGGGGAGGAGGAGGAAGAGGAGAGGAGGAGGAGGAGGAGGAGGAGGGAGGAGGAGGGGAGGAAGGAGGAGACGCCTGGCTTTGAGGTATGTTGTTGTGAGAGGCTATTGAAGGACGACGAAGGCCATCTGAGAGGCGCTCTTAGGGCCCCCGTGGGGCCTTCTGGCGCCCTGTTGGGGGTTCTTTGTTGGAGTCTTGTTGCCCTCTTGGGGCTCCTTGGAGGGTCTGGGAGGCCTCTTGGGACATCTTGGCCCCGATGAGTCAAAAAGGGGGGATCCTCAATTCAGGTCCCCCCCCCCAGAGGCTCAAACAGGTTGTCTCGGGGCCCCTTAGGGGAGCTCTTGGGGCGTTATTGGGCGTCCTTGTGGCCCTCTCGGGGCCCCCTCTTGGGCACCTCTTGGGGCTCTCTGGGGCTTTCGTGGGGCCATCTTGAGGCCTCCGAGGCCCATCGGAAGCGAAAGGGCGAGACTGCAAGCATCATACATTTGGCCTCGGTTTCGGAGCCGGTGTTGCCTCTTGGGGGGGTCCTTGGAGGGCTCGGAGGGCACTTGATACTGTTTTGGGGCCGTCTTGAGGCCTTTTGGATGTGCGTCGGAGGCTATCTTGAGCCATCTTGGAGGCCATCTTGGGGTCTCTGGGGCCCTCGTGGAGCCATACTGGGCGATCTTGGGGGCTGCAGCGTCTCGCGCCCCCCCCTCCCAGGCCCAGGGGAGGGGTAGGGACAGGGGTAAACCCTTCCCCGCGCAGGGGAAGGATGGGCTTTGAGAGAGAGAGAGAGAGAGAGAGAGAAACAAATAAAGAAAAAGGAAGAGAAAGATAAAGAGAAAGGGAAAGAGAAGAGACACAATCCGTTAAACCACCTACGCCCAGAGGGCTGGTGGGATTCGTGAAGCTTCATGCATCCCGGTTCAGGCATCCTGGTTCAAGCAGACTTGGTGCAGCTTCCATTTTGTCCGCAATCAAATCACACACACACACGCGAAAACACTTGGCTTGCGGGTCCTTTCTTTTCTGTTCCGTGGGATGGCGGTCCAGAAGGCGCCTTGGACCGTGTGGTCCGTGGTTGCAGTCGTCCTCAGCATCAGCGCACCCACTGTGACTTCGATCGGTGTGAGTTCCAAGCCAGAGTGTGCAGATGACGACGCCCAAATTATTGCGCTGGCAAGCGGCATCGGCGTCACTATCAGTGGTTGTGCTGCGGTGCAGCCTTATTGCGAAGATGCGAAGTATGGCAGCACTGTGAAAGCGACCTGCCCTGCAACGTGTGGCCTCTGCAGGGTGGCCAGCCCCAGCAGCTCCCAGGCGGCTGAGGTGCTGATGGACAGGAGCTCCAGGGGCTCCCAGGACGCGGATGATCAACGGTCCCTGGACAGAGCTCTGGCAGCGAAAGGGCCCGACCCGACGCCGAGGCCGACGCCGTGGCCGACGCCGTGGCCGACGCGGTACCCGACGCCGAGGCCGACGCCGTGGCCGACGCCGTGGCCGACGCGGTACCCGACGCCGAGGCCGACGCCGTGGCCGACGCCGAGGCCGACGCCGAACCCGTATCCGACGCCGAGGCCGACGCCGTACCGACGCCGAAGCCGACGCCGAACCCGACGCCGAACCCGACGCCGTACCCGACGCCGAAGCCGACGCCGAACCCGACGCCGAACCCGACGCCGTACCCGACGCCGAAGCCGACGCCGACCCGACGCCGAACCCGACGCCGTACCCGACGCCGAAGCCCACGCCGAACCCGACGCCGAACCCGACGCCGTACCCGACGCCAAACCCGACGCCGAACCCGACGCCGTACCCGACGCCGTACCCGACGGCCTTCCCGACGCCGTACCCCACGGCCTTCCCGACGCCGTACCCCACAGCCTTCCCGACGCCGTACCCGACGGCCTTCCCGACGCCCTACCCAACAGCTTTCCCGACGCCCTACCCGACGGCCTTCCCGACGCCGTTCCCGACCCCTAGCCCGACGCCCAGCCCGACATATCCTTGGGTTGGCCGACGCCACAACCAACGTTTCTTCCCGCAGCTCCTATGCCGGGTGGAGCTGCCGGAGGCGTGGCTGCCACCGGCGATCCCCACCTTCAGAATGTTCACGGCGAGCGGTTCGATTTAATGCAGGCGGGCAAACATGTTCTGATAAACATCCCTCGTGGAGTGAGCGCTGAAGATGCATTGCTTCGTGTGCAGGCCGATGCGCGCCGCCTGGGTGGAAGTTGTTCGGATATGTACTTCCAAGAACTGAACATTACAGGCTCTTGGGCAGAGGCTAAGCAAGTTGGAGGGTACCACTACGGCGTACGGCAAAGCGTTAGGACGAGTCCGCAATGGGTTGCTATTGGCCGGGTAGAGCTGAAAGTCGTCCATGGACGCACAGAGAGTGGCATCTTGTATTTGAATGTGTTTGTGAAGCATTTAGGACAATCAGGGTTTGCCGTCGGAGGTTTGCTGGGGGAAGACGACCACAAGGACGCGATGACTCCCCCGGCGTCTTGTAGCAAACACATTCCTTTGCTAGAAGCAGTGACGAGTGGCCAGGTTCCTTCCTCCGAGTCGTCGGTTGCAGCGGCAACCTTCGCGTGACCATGCTGGATACTTTGACACGTGGGTATATGACAAGTACGCCCCGTCGGGTGACGCGTGCGGTAGTGTTTTCCTGCTCCATCGAAAAAGAAAGAACCCCTTATTTTTGTTTTTTTTGTTTTTTTTTATTTATAAGTGCAAAGCACTGCTTGGGGATAGAGGCCTCTAAGGACAGTTCGCGGATGCACGGACATTATGACCCCTGGTGCCATCTTGGGAGCGTGAGGGTGATAGTTTGGCGTCAGACCGAGCCCCGAGGCCTTCGGAAAAGGTTCACGTGGCATTTCTCTTTCCCCATGCTTCAGATCTCTTGCCCTTCCTTCTCCCAATCCTCCTTCCTTTTCAGGAGGGACGTACGCCGATATGCCCAGAGAGGTCCGCAATGCGTCGCACTTGCGGCAATGCCTCACGGAAAGGCTCTTCCCGTTTTGGCCTGGTGAGGTTGTTCTGCCGCCCTCGATGAGGCCGCCGCAAGGCCCGCGCTGGAGCAGAAGGTGCAGGCAAGAATATTGCATTGCATACGTGGCGTCGTCGCGGCGGCGGTAGTCCTTCCGCCGTTCGGAGACACGGCGCCAATACAATGCCCCTTTCGGCAGCCGCACCCCCCACCCCAAGGATGCCTTAGCCCTGGCCTTGCCACTCCACTCCCGTGCTGTTGGAGATTTGGGGGCGAGCCCGAAGTGCAACGTGAGATGCACCAACTGGGACATCGTTTCGTTTCGTGCGTGACGTGCGTGAAGTGCGCGCGGGCGAGGCGAGGCGAGGCGAAGTCGCACGAGTTCGCACACTACAGACTCGGAAACATTTCCCCTGACGGCACAACAACGCCCCAGGAACAACCGAAAGACAAACGAAGCCTTCCGCACCCGACCCCGTCCGCCTCGCCGGACATGTGGTCCGAACACCTCCAACCGAACGACAAGCGAAGCCTTCCGCACCCGACCCCGTCCCGCCTCGCCGGACATGTGGTCCAAGCACCCCCCTTTAAAATTCTAAACGGGCTCGCGCCAGGGGGAGGGCCCTGGGTGCATCCACTCCTTTACTTCGAATTGTATGAAGGATCCACTCCTTTACTTCGAATTGTATGAAGGAGTGGGTGGAGCCTGGTTTGGGCGATTCTGCTTGGGACGTCCTCAACATCTGCCTGGCTTGGGCCCTGGTTTGGCCTGGTTTGGCTTGGTTTGGCTCGGTTGGGCGCCGCAAGCCACCTGAGACATCCTCCGAATTTGCTTGGTTTGGCCTCTGGTTTGGCCTGATTTGGGTCCGGTTTCGCTTGAGACGTCCTCAACATTTGCTTGGTTTGGCATGGTTTGGGCCCGGTTTTGCTTGAGACGTCCTCTTTGCTTTTTTTGGCTTGGTTTGGGCTTGATTTTGTTTCTCACAATTTGCCTGGTTTGGGCCTGGTTTTGCTTGAAACTTCATCACAATTTGCTTGGTTTGGCCTGGTTTGGGGGTCGGTTTCGCTTGAGACGTCCTCACGATTTGCCCGGTTTGTCCTGGTTTGTTTGGCCCTGGGAACCGCGAAGCTCTTGCAACATCCCTGGTTCGATTTGGCGAGAGCGCACGTCAACGTCGTCGTAGTTGTCGTCGTGGTCGTCAAAATCACCATCGTCGTCGTCGTCGGCGGCGTCGTCGTTGGGGGGGGCCGACGCTCCGGGACACCGTATATTATGTCACGTGGTGCAGGGACATGAAGGAAACGATTCATTCGCACACGTGGTGGGCGTATACATTCGGGACGTTATGGCTCTTAGGTGTTCTCAAGACGCATTGGGTGTTGTCGATGTGCGTATGACAAGGAACTAACATTTCACTCACGTCGTGGGTGCAAACACGCGAAACGGGGCGGTGTGTGCGGCGTGTACTGAACACACATACTGGCTCACATTCCGCACTGTTTGTGCTACAGTATAATCGGGGCATTGGGTGTGGGCATCCGAAGCGCAGTGTGTTCGGCCAGCCCCTGCACCACATAGTGCAACCATCGCTCACACAAATCCTATTGTTATTCGGCATTGGACCATGTGGCGGCGTAAGGAGAAAACCTTTCCGAGCCTGTAGTTAGAGGCTAGGGCCAAGTCAGACAAATGAGGCGCCCCACGCGGCGGCCGTGGTGTGAAAGTTGTCCCGCTGGTTGTCCAGATGGTTATCCCGACAGTTCTCCGGACGGTTGTCCCCCCGATGGTTGTCCCCCCGATGGTTGTCCCGATGGTTGCCCGATGATTTTCCCGATGGTTGTCCCGATGGTTGTCCCGACGCTTGTCCTGGTGGTGTTTCCGATGGCTGTTCCGATGGTTGTCGCGATGGTTGCCCCGATGGTCGCCCCGATGGTTATTTCGATGGTTGCCCCGGTGGTTGTCCCGCTGGTTTTCCCGATGGGCGTTCCGGTGGTCCAGTGGCCCAATGGTTGTCCCCGATTTTTGTGCCGATGGTTGTCCCGACGGGCGTCTTCATGGTTACCCCGATGGTTGCCCTGATGGTTTCCCAACTCTCCTGTGTTGGGTTCTCGTTTCGGATACAGCAGTGCGGTCGCGACCTCCTCCTTCCTCTCTGCTCCTGCCTCCTCCCCGCCTTTTGCTTCCTACCTCGCCGTCCTGTCTGGGGGCTCGCCGGTGCAGTCAACGTGGTTCAATTTATGTGGTGCACTCTATGTGGTGTCAGCTACGTGGTGCAGTCTATGTGGTGCAATCTCTGTGGTGCACTCTATGTGGTGCAATCTATGTGGTTAAGCTATGTGGTACAGTCTATGTGATGCAAGCTATGTTGTGCAATGTGTGTGGTGCGATCTGTTTGGTGTTAGGTGGTACGACTTTCGTGGTGTAAGCTATGTGGTGCAATCTATGCGGTGCAGTCCACTCTGCAGAACTTGAAGTCGTCATCTCCACTGCTCGCGCAAACATCCCACCCACCCACCCGCAACTTGGTTTGCAAAACCTCTTAAGACCGACTACGACGCCACCGACGACAACGACTACGACGACACCGACGACGTCTCCGACGACTTCGACGACGACAACGATGCCACGCCGACGCCGACGACGACGACGACGCCAACGAAGGCGACGACGAGGGAGGAGGAAGGACGACGACGGCGACAACGACGACAACGACGACAACGAAGAGGGAGGAGGGAGGACGGCGACGACGCGAACGACGACGAAGGAGGAAGGACGGCGACGCCGACGACGACAACGACGAGGGAGGAGGGAAGACGACGACGACAACGACGACGACGACGACGGCGACGAAATAGGACGGACGATGACGAGACGCCGTGGACGGACGACGACGACGACGAGGGAGGAGGAGGAAGGACGACCACGGCGACAACGACGACGGAAACGACCACGACCCCAAAGAGGACGACGACGACGAACACGAGGAAAGACAGAGCACGACGTAGGCGACGACGACGACGACGCGGGAGGAGGGAGGGCGGCGACGACGACGACGACGACGACGCAAGAGCGCGCGCGCACGCTTTTGTTGAAAATCCGTGTTGCGAAACCTTGGGTTTTCGTAGGTTTTTGGGACACACGATATTGAAATCCTTCCGAAACCGATAGGTTTTGAAGGTTTTCGGCATACGCCCGCGACGACCGACGACGCGCGCGTCTGCACTTCGACCCATTTTTTGTGGAGAATTCTCGCGACGGCACACGCGCAAGGGCGTTCGACAGATTTCGACATGCGCGCGCGACGCCCGTTTGGTAGCATTTTGTGAAAATCTTGAAAAACCTATGGTTTTCTTACGATTTCGCAAGGGCTCGCGCGGAAACTTTTTTTGCAAATCAGTGTTGCGAAACCTTGAGTTTTTGTATGTTTTTGGGGAACTCGATTGCGAAATCTTTCCGGCACCGTAGGTCTTTGAAGGATTTCCGCATGCGCGCGCGACGACGCGCGCGATACCGGTTCCCCTGGGATAGCGTAACTTCATATTTAGGATGGACATGTGGTCAGAATCATACATGATTCACATATCCGAAAGGGGGGCGGATAACGCCGGGGGGGGTAGAGTGTATTCTTTTTTAAGAAAGGAGAATCTATGTGGCTAAGCTATGTGGTACAATCTATGTGATGCAAGCTATGTTGTGCAATCTGTGTGGTGCAGCGTATGTGGTGCGATCTGTTTGGTTTTAGGTGGTACGACTTTCGTGGTGTAAGCTATG